ACTTGATATACTAAAACTTTTGTATTGAACATTTTTTTCCATAAGCATTATTTTCCAAGATATTTGACCGTTGCCGAACTTTCTCCCATCACTGTATAGGAATTGCATAAAGCAAATGTCTATGCCTTTTCAATCCTGAATGCATTTTTATTCATTTATAGGAATTGCATAGAGCATTATCTCTATGCCTTTTAATCTAAAAATAATATTAACATTTTCTGTGCATCGTGAATATTAAGGCCTACGCACAATGGAGAAAATATTTGGAACAGAAATAGATATTAAGATTTCAACCTATCAGAAACCGTGTATTCCGGTGTAACTGGTATCTGATAGGTTAAAATCTTAATATCTATTCCCGTTCCTAATATTTCCTCCATTGTGCGCAGGCCCTTACTCAATCAGAGCTCTGGGATATAATATCGAACTTATACCCCAAAGCTCTGATTGGACGGCTCGTTATTCCCTATTGTCTGTGCCTATTGCCTGTGTCTATTGTGTTTCCAGCTTTACTGAATATGCCAATCAGATCCAAGAGGTCACTGAGCGCTCAGTGAGAGGTTGTGATACTAAATGCATCCATTGGTTAGATAGGTCATTCCTCCTCTAGTAGTATAAACTCTATGATTTTTAGGCGCTCAAGTCGCCCAAAATCACAAATCACAAAATGTGATTTTGGGCGACTTGAGCGCGCTCTTTTGTGCGATTTTACGTATTATATATCTGGAAACCCTGATACCTCTGCTCCCCGAGACCCCGAGGAGGTTAAAACTGAATTGCAAGATCAAAGCAACGCATGGTACTATGATCCGATAAAAGGGTTGGATCCATACAGGGGACTGTAAGAAAAAGCAAAACCATTGGAATGCATTCTTAAGAGGAAAAGATATTCATCAGTGCAACATACTTAACGTGAGACCAAGTGTCTCGTAGACTTGAAGATAAAACGGTTTCCGACATGAAGGCTCTAATACAGCGAGTGTCAAAGGCTTCAGTATCAGGTAAAATTATTTGCAAATTAGATTTACGTGCCAATATATTGATAGATGAATCTGTATAAATTTGTATTCCCCGCGTGATAAAAAATTTATAATGTATTGGGTAATCAATGTTATTTGCAAGGTAATATTTGCACTGTATGTGTGACACAGACTGATAAGAAATAAATTGAATGAGGTCTCATACGACACAGTTAAGGTCCAAGTATAATTTTTCAGTTGACGGTGAAGTTATTAGTAGGATTGGAACTGGACTGTGCGTGTTAATTGGCATAAAGAGTGACGATGGAGTGGCAGATATGAAATACATGTAATGAAAAAACATTAATGAGTATAGTTACATACGTGTGTACAGTTGATTGTTAATTTCTCTGTCGTAGTA